CAGGGACAATGAGGTAACCATGGCTGACTACAGAAATCAGGGATAGCATAAAAGCAAAAGAAAAAGCATATAATATGGGTAAGGGCAGTGGGAAACTAGAGGATTGGGAAGCTTACAAAGACCAACAGAGGGCAACAAAAAAGTAAGGAGGAAGAAGATTAAATAGGAGGGAAAGCTAGCCAGTAATATAAAGGAGGATTGTAAGAGTTTCTTTAGATATACAAAGGGCAAAAGAGAGACAAAAGTGGACATTGGACCACTGGAGAGATAATGGTGGGGAATAAGGAAATGGCTGAGGAACTCAATACTTATCTGCGTCAGTCTTCACAGTGGAAGACACAAGTAATATTCCAAGAATTCGAAAGAGTCAGGGGGGAGAGCTGAGTATGGTGGCAATCACCAAGGAGAAGGTGCTAGAAAAACTGAATGGTCTGACGGTGGATAAACCACCAGGACCAGATGGACCATACCCCAGAGCTCTAAAGGAGATAGCTGAAGAGATAGTGGAGACGTTAGTGGTGATCTTCCAGGAATCGCTAGAATCAGGGTGGGTCCCAGAGGACTGGAAAATTGCTAACGTGACACCCCTGTATAAAAAAGGGACTAAGGCAAAAGACTGAAAATTACAGGCCGATTAGCCTAACCTTGGTCATGGGTAAGATTTGAAAGAGTCCATTATGAAGGATGAGATTTCTGAATAATTGGAAATGCATGGTAAAATAGGGCAAAGTCAGCATGGATTCATCAAGGGGAGGTCATGCCTGACAAATCTTTTAGCATTCTTTGAGGAAGTAACAAGCCGGTTAAGACCAAGGAGAGCCAACGGATATTATCTACCTGGACTTCAAGAGGGCCTTTGACAAGGTGCTGCACAGGGGGCCGCTGAGTAAGATAAGGGCCCATGAAGTTAGAGGCAAGGTACCAGCATGGATAGAAGATTGGCTCTCTGACAGAAGGCAGAGAGTGGGGTTAAAAGGGTCTTTCTCAGGATGGTAGCCAGTGACAAGTGGGTGTTCCATGAGGATCAGTGTTGGGACCACAACTTTTCACTTTATACATTAATTATCTAGATGAAGGAACTGAGGGCATTCTGGCTAAGTTTGCAGATGATATAACGATAGGTAGAGGGACAGGTAGTATTAAAGATGCGGGGAGGCTGCAGAAGGATTTGAACAGGTAGGAGAGTAGGCAAAGAAGTGGCAGATGGAGCACAACGTGGAGAAGTGTGAGGTCATGCACTTTGGTAAGAAGAATAAAAGCATGGACTATTTTCTAAATGGGAAGACAATTCAGAAGTCTGAAGTGCAAAGAGACTTAGGAGTTCTAGTCCAGGATTCTCTCAAGGTAAAATTGCCGGTTGAGTCAGTCGTTTGGAATGCAAATGCAACTTTAGCATTTATTTTGAGAGGACTTGAATATAAAAGCTGGGATGTACTTCTGAGGCTCTAAAAGGCTCTGGTCAGGTCACATTTGGAGTATTTTTGGGCCCCATATCTCAGGAAAGATGTACGAGCCCAAGAGCGGGTTCAGAGGAGGTTCACGAGAATGGTCCCAGGAATGAAAAGTTTAACATAGGAGGAATGTTTGCAGACTCTGGTCTATATTCAATGGAGTTTAGAAGGATGAGGGGGCAATCTAATTGAAACTTACAGAATACTGAATGGCCTGGACAGAATGGAAGTTTGGAAGATGTTTCCATTGGTAGGAGAGACGAGGACCTGAGGGCATAGCCTTAGAGTAAAGGGAAGACCTTTCAGAGTGACTCGATGGGCTGAATGGCCTAATTTCTGCTCTTATGTCTTATGGGATTTTAACTTTCCAAGCATACAGCAGGTCTGCCATAGTGCTAAGAGCTTGGATGGAGAGAAATGCGTTACGTGTGTACAAGGAAATTTTTTGATTCAGTATGTGGATGTACCTACTAGAGAAGGTGCTAAACTTGACCTACTCTTGGGAAATAAGGCAGGGCAAGTGACTGAGGTGTCAATGGGGGAGCATTTGGGGACAATGACTATGTTCTTATTAGTTTTAAACTAATGATGGAAAAGGATAGCCTGGATCTAAAAGTTAAAGTTCTAAATTGGAAGGCGGCCAATCTTGATGGTATTAGGCAAGAACTTTCAAAGTTGATTGGGAGCAGATATACACAGGTAAAGTGATGGCAGGAAGATGGGAAGCCTTCAAAAATGAGATAATGAGAGTCCAGAGACAGTATGTTCCTATTAGGGTGAAGGGCGGGGCTGTTAGGTATAGGGAATGCTAGATGACTAGAAAAATTGAAGTTTTGGACAAGAATAAGAAAGAAGCATATGTCAGGTATAGGCAGCAGGGATTGAGTAAATCCCTAGAAGAGTATATAGGCAGTAGGAGTGCTCTCAAGGGGGAATTCAGGAGGGCAAAAAGGGGACATGAAATAGCTCTGGCAAACAAGGTTAAGAAGAATCCAAAGAGATTTATAAATACATTAAAGGACAAAAGGGTAACTAGGGAGAGAATAGGGGCCCTTAAAAGATCAGCAAAACCACCTAAGTGTGGAACTACAGGAGATGAACAAGATACTAAATGAGCATTTTGCATCAGTGTTCACCAAGGAGAAGGAGATGGGAGATAGAGAAGGTGGTAAATAAATAGCGAACTTTTGAAAAATTTATATATTATAGGAGGAAGTGTTGGATGTCTTAAAACCCATAAAAAGGTGGATGAATTCCTGGACCTGATCATGTGTACCCTAGAACTCTATGAGAAGCTAGGGAAATGATTGCTGGGACCCTTGCTGAGATATTTGTATCATTGATAGCCACAGGTGAATGCCAGAAGACTGGAGATTGGCTAACGTGGTAAGGAAGAGCCAGGGAACTATAGACTGGTAAGCCTGACATCAGCGGTGAGCAAGCTGTTCGAGTCAATCCTAAGGGACAGAATTTATTTGTATTTGGAAAGGCAAGGACTGATTAGGGATAGTCAACGTGGCTTTATGCATGGGAAATGGTGTATCACTAACTTGATTGAGTTTTTTGAAGTAACAAAGAGGATTGATGAGGGCAGAGTAGTGGCCGTGATCTATGTGGACTTCAGTAAGGCGTTTGACAAAGCAGACTGGTTAGCAAAGTTAGGTCACACGGAATACAGGGAGAACTAGTTATTTGGATACAGAACTGGCTCAAAGGTAGAAGACAGAGGATGGTGGTGGAAGGTTGCTTTTCAGACTGGAGGCCTGTCACCAGCAGCGTGCCACAAGGACTGGTACTGGGTCCACTGCTTTTTATCATTTATATAAATGATTTGGATGTGAATAAAGGAGGTATGGTTAGTAAATTTGCAGATGACACCAAAATTGAAGGTGTAGTAGACAGCAAAGAAGATTATCTCAGAGTACAATGGGATCTTGATAGGCCAACGGGCCGAGGAGTGGCAGATGGAGTTTAATTTAGGTAACTGTGAGGTGCTGTATTTTGGAAAGGTAAATCAGGGCAGGACTTATACACTTAATGGTAAGCTCCTGGGGAGTGTTGCTGAACAAAGAGACCTTAGAGTGCAAGTTCATAGTTTCTTGAAAGTGGAATTGCAGGTAGATAGGATACTGAAGGCAGCGTTTGGTATGCTTGCCTTTATTGGTCAGTGCGTTGGGTATAAGAGTTGGGAGGTCATGTTGCGGGCTGGACAGGACATCGGTTAGGCCACTGTTGGAATACTGCATGCAATTCTGGTCTCCCTGCTATAGGAAAGATGTTGTGAAACTTGAAAAGGTTCAGAAACTACATACAAGGATGTTGCCAGGGCTGGAGGGTTTGAGCTATAAGGAGAAGCTGAATAGATTGGGGCTATTTTCACTGGAGTGTAAAAGGCTGAGGAATGACCTTAGAGGTTTATAAAATCATGAGGGGCATGGATAGGGTAAGTAGACAAGATCTTTTCTCCAGGGTGGGGGAGTCCAAAACTAGAGGGCATAGGTTTAAGGCGAGAGGGGAAAGAAATAAAAGGGACCTAAGGAGCAACTTTTTCATGCAGAGGGTGGTGCATGTATGGAATGAGCTAGCACAGGAAGTGGTGGAGGCTGGTACAATTACAACATTTAAAAAGGCATCTGGTTAGGTATATAAATAGGAAGGGTTGAGGGGGATATGGGCCAAATGCTGGCAAACGGGACTAGATTTATTTAGGATATCTGGTCGGCATGGACGATTTGGACCGAAGGGTCTGTTTCCATTCTGTACATCTCTATGACAGGTTGGGAAATACAGCTTTTATTTTCTGAATTTTTATAATTAAAGGTTGATTTGTTAGTATAAGCACTGGCTTCAGTCATTGCAAAATACTCCACTGAGTGACCAATATTATGGTTGTTTCTAGTTTCACAAGATTCAAGACACTTTCACAAGAACTGAATTCATTACAACACAAGTGCTGCTATTTCTTCCTAAAATCACGATTTCTGATAAATGAGAATTGCTCTTAAACTTTAACACCACCATTTGATTAGCCACTGTTATAGCTAGTCTACACTTGGATCACTGCGCAACTGTAGTGAATAAATGAAACTTCAATGTAGAAGTATGCAGTTTACCTTGTGCACTCGCACACTTGTGCAATCTCTAATCTTAAATGGGCCTGCAGTAATCTTATGATTTCTTTTTGTTCTTTCCATGAAATCCCTTTCTTAAAAACTGTTTCCTTTTCTTTTGAGACAGAGTGCACAAACGTATTTAAAAATACTTCTAAATCACATTCTTTTTGAATTTGCTTGATCAGCAAAATCCAATTTCATTTGGCCCAAAGTAGGTACATTGGCAGCAATATAATAAAATGGAATATCATGAATTTGCTTCCATACATTATCATCTGATGGACATTTACATATTATTTACTGGTTTATTCAAGGCAGTCCCAAACTGTTCAATAATAATCACACCCAACATGTTAACATTTGTCATTTATTGTAAATTATGAAACTTTTGTTTTACATTGGCCAGTTAGCATAAAATGTTAAGTTGAAGTTTTACCTTTGGAAGTGAACGTGCAGCTTGAAGAATCCTGCGTCGATGTCCTACTTCATGAATTCCAAGTTCTCGCAAGTCCTGCTCTTCCATTATGTTGGCCCCCTAGGAAAACAGACAAAATTTTTAAAAAACTGAAGGCCTCAGTTCTGCTCAGCAGTGCAGAGCCAGAAACTACTTCAGGGTTTTGTTCTGAGAGAATAATTTGTTATGTAACACAAAGTACTCAAAGCTTCTAACTTTGGAAATACCAGACCCTAGCTTCAGTTCCAACTTTACAGGACTTTCATTTTTCAGCATTTGTTCACAGAATGTGGGTATCATGGCTGCAGCAGCATTTGCTGACCACCCCAAATTGCCTGGAGAAGTTGTAGTGAATGGCCTCCTTAAACTGCTGCGATCTTGTGCAACCAACAATACTATTAGGAAGGAAAGTTTGGGACTTTGGCACTGTAATAGTGAAGGAACGGCAATATATTTCCAAGTCGGGATGGTTTGTGGCTTGGAGAGGAAATTGCAGCTGGTGGTATTCCTACTTATGCATTCTTTTTATCCCTTGGATCAGTTCTCAATCGAGTTTAGAAGGATGAGGAAGGATTTGATTAAAATTTACAGGATCCCAAGAGGCCTGGATAAAGTAGACGTGGAGATGATGTTTCCACGAAGAGAAACGAGGAACCGAGGGCACAGCCTCAGAGGGAAGGGATAACCCTTCAGAAGTGAGATGAGGAGGAATTTCTTCAGCCTAAGGGTGGAAATCTATGGAACTCATTACTACCAAAGGTTGTGGATGCCAAGCCGTTGGTACATTTAAGATAGAGATAGATAGGCTCTTGGGTAGTAAGGGGATCAAGGGTTATGGGGTTAAGGCAAGAGAATGGGGTTCAGAAATGTATCAGCCATTATTGAATAGTGGAGTGAATGCAATAGGCCAAATAGCCTAATTCTGTTCCTATATCTTATAGACTTATGGAGAAGAGATTGGATTTATGACCAGTATTTTAAGCTTAAACAAGGGCAACAAATTGGGCATGAAAGCAGAACCAGCTGAAGTAAACCCGAGTACGAGGCTAGGCAACAGATTAATTCAAGAAGCAACATCAGACTTTAGGAGTTATTTCAATCTACACACAATAAGCATATTCCTATCATAAAGAAAAATTCCAAGTGGAGGATCTAATCTTCATTGATTAAATAGAAAGTTAAGCAAGGATTAAACTTAAGGAAAATGCATACAATTATGCAAAGGTGAGTGACAGATCAGATGATGCCCTTTATATTCGGCTGTGATGATATTATGACTTTAAGAGGTATATTGTGTCCTGGTTTTTTTTTTGAAGAGAGGCATTGAGACAAAAAGGTGGCAAATTGCCTCTTCCAAGCCAATGAAGTAAAACAACTTGATGGGTCCTGGTTTTTTAAATATAAAAGTTAGAACAATAGAAGCTGCATGAACAGGTGGAGTCAGGCCCCCACAGAATCAGGGTTTTAGTTTAGTTTTCAGTTGTGGGGTTTTTGAAGTTGGTTGTGGAAGTTGTCACACATCTCTCTCTCTGCCAGAATATTCTCATGGTGTTTTATCATCCTCGACTGGAGAAACACCTGACTAGCCAATTTATTTTACTGAACTTGCCTTTGCCACGGATGTGTTTATGAGTGTTACTATATCAGAACACTTGTTCTTTAGTAATTGTCACAAAGAGAAAAAGGGAAAAGAACAGAAATTAATATGATGGGGTCAGGTCCAGGGAGGCTCTCAAGAGAAATTAGAGTTTGATAAATTCTAGGTATTCCTGCAACTTCCATTGGCTAAGAAATTAAAAACAAGTCAAGATTCAATTAATGATTTTTGCCTGACACCATCCAAAAGCCCACATTGGTCTAAAACA